TTATTAAAGGGGGGGGGGGGGAAGAGAGAGCCAAAGTTGTAAAGATGTTTCTATCTCATTCTCGTGTTATGATGTGTAGCTTCGGACTTATTCTGAATGGGTAATAGATGGAGAGTATGACGAGCCAAAGTGTTGTCACTGCCAAGCAACATTTGCGGATGGGGCGGGTCATCAGGTCACTCGGTTGGGTTGTTTGCGTATGTAATCTGACTATCACCGTTTGTTATTACAGATTTTTAGTTCAAATAATGTGCAGTTAAATAATTGATGCCATTTTTCTCCCCTTTCTGTTTATCAGATCTAATACATACAAGCTGCTTGATTTCACTCATCAAGAGCTTTCCACCCCACACAGCACCTGCAGGATATGTGTGCCCATCATGCAGCACTCCAGTAAGCTTTATTTATTAGCATTCATTTATTAGGTGAAATTCCTATGGTATACTTTGTCATACGTTGCATTGTGATCCTTTCGAGTAGATAATCTGCTGAAGCCTTTCTTCAACATCTCATTTTTCTTGCCCGATATTTAAAAATTTCACTAAAATCGAAGTGATTGGAGATGTTAATCTTAGCAGACGTGAGAACTGGGTGTGGTTCTTGCTTATGAGTTTTCTGTCAGAAGTTTCATCTGGCTTACATTTGAGAAATCTGATCTTCTTGCCAATTGAGACCCGTGTACGCTTCTTTTTCTTTTTTCTTAATCAGGAATTTGTGGGAGTCATGTTTCTCGGTTGAATGTAATTGCTTAGATTGAACGTCATGTCTTCTTTGCTTTGTAAAGCCTTTCGAGTACTACTGCTTGTGACATTTAATTTTCTTGTTTACTCAACTTATGAATTCAATATTGTTCCTTGTTTATTTGAAGGAGAGAAAACCAAGGAAACTATCTCTCAGGACTTAACACTTTATGTTTGGCGCAATGATCCTGTGATAACAGAATTTGGCCATTTAGAAAATCCTTGTTGTGTTTTGGTTTTAGTTTGTACCTTCCCGCTGAAGATCTTGTTTTCCCCATGAAAATGTCTGAGCCATATTTATGTTCTAATCTGGTGATTAAATGCAGATATGGCCTCCTAAGATGGTTAAAGATACAGGATCTCGCCTTCATGCAATGCTGAAGGAAGTAATTATGCAGGTTAAATTTTTTCCTGTACCTCCATTCTTGTTTTCAGTTTTATCAAATCTTTTTCTGGAATTGGTAAAGGTGGTGTCATGTGAACAGAAGGAAAAAACTTCAAAGGTTCCTGTCTTTCCATTCTATACATGTCTCTTACTGAGTATTTCAACTGAAATGGCAAAATCATGTAGTCACATTCTCTACAATGACTGACTGGTTAAAAATATAAGGTTGCTGAACATGGAATTCAAAAGTTTGAGTGGATTAAATATTGTGTTTTCTGTATTGCAGACTGGTCTTGAGAAGAGTTTGTTCGGAAATCACCCAGTTTCTTTATCGACCGAATCTCGCAGTCCGCCAGCTGCGTTGGCTTCAGATCCATTAGTTAATATATCTTCTAAAGGCGAATATAGTGCATCCTCATCTTCCCCTCTACGAGAAGGAAACAACTTTGCTGATGGATATTTAGCTGGAAACGGAGAATACTCCAAACCTACAGTCTCAGAGATAGTTGAGATAGATGTTCCAGCCTCTGGGAGTTACATGAAAAGTTCAAGCCCTGGAGTAAGAAATACTTTTTACGAAAAATTTGTTACAATTTCTTTTTTCAACACCAATGGTTTGTCACAAGCGGAACTCTTTATAACATTTCATATGCAGGCTGTGGCTGCTGCAAGGAAAGGTATACCCGCTGCTGACAGGCAGAATTCCGAGATGTCATATTATGCAGACGACGAAGATGGGAATCGTAAAAAGTACTCGAGAAGAGGTGAGAGAAAAATCTGGTCTCAATTTCTCTCTTAAGGGCACCATACCCTCCAGTGCGAGATGATTTTACAAGGGTATGATTTTGTCTGGTGAGATGCAATTATAGCTATACGTAGATGCGTATGTAGCTGCCTCCCGTAGTCTCGGATCTTCTTCACATTTGTCTTCCGATGCCACTTTTGTTGTCGTAAACTGACACTCATTTTTTTTCGTAAAAGGTCCTCTTCGTCACAAGTTTCTCCGGGCTTTGTTACCGTTCTGGTCAAATTCATTACCAACTTTACCAGTGACTGCACCTTCCCGCAAGGACAAGGATGCGTCAAAAGCCGACGATGTTCCTGAAGGCCGGTCACGGAACCCAAGACCATCTAGGATGGATCCGAGGAAAATACTTCTCTTCATAGCAATCATGTAAGCCCCCACTTCACTACTACTCTTCCTCGTCATATATATATATATATATATATATATATATGTTCTGGGCATAATCAGAGAGAGTCCATGTGCTGATAACGCAGGGCATGCATGGCAACCATGGGGATATTGTACTACAGACTCGCCCAACGGGCAATCGGTCAAGATTCGGTACATGGCGAGGAGCAACGGTGAGGCAAAATATCCTTCTGGTTTTCGTGATCGGACCGGAATTCCTCCATAAACACGTCTCAATGTTTTGGTCGCCCGCTTTGTATAAAGATCTTAAAATCGTAATTCAGACCACAGATCATATACCTATAAATCGTGCCATTAAGTCACGTGACATATATATATTCTTTAGTTAGAAAAAACTCAATCTTTATTTAGAAAAAAATCATAGTCTAATTGTTAACGGAGAAGAGATTTTTGAAATCTTATAATAAGAAATTTTGCATTTGTTAGTTGATATTGATACTTTTAACTAGGGCTGGGCATTTTTATCCGAGCCCCGCGGGTTTTCGGGTACCCTGTCTCACGGGTACCCGGGATTCATTACTCGCGAGACAATGAGACAGAGACCGAGTTCCGTGAGACGAAAAACCCGAGTTTCGGGTTCGGGTTCGAGTTCGAGAATTTTGTGCCGGGTTATCTCACGGGTACCGGCAAAAAAATAAAATTACAAAAATACCCTTGATATTTAATATATTTACAAAAACTACCCCTAACCCTAATTCACCCTAACTTTCTCTCTGACGAATCGTGGCCTGCCTCTGCGCCTCCTCTTCACTGTCTTCAGAACAGATCTCTTCGTTCTTCAGGACAACTCTCTCGCTCTCAGTCTCTCTCAGCTTCTACGTCGGTCGGCTCGGCTCTGCTCCGTCGTTTCTTCGTCTCCGTCGTTCGGCTCGCTTCTCCTCTGTCTCCGCCATCGTTCGCATCTCGGTCTCTCTCCGTCTGCTCTGTCTCTGTCGTTCGGCTCTACTCGGTCTCCGTCGTTCGGCTCTGCTCCGTCGTTTCTTCGTCTCCGTCATTCAGCTCGCTTCTCCTCTGTTTCCGCCATCGTTCGCCTCTTGGTCTCTCTCCGTCTGCTCGGTCTCTATCATCTGTAAGACCTTTAATCTTGTGTTTATGTTTCTTGGTCTTGTTGTTGTTGTACTTATTACCCGCCGACATGATTCCGGCGTTGTCGGTCCGTTCTGGCTCTCTAAGACCGGTCCTTAGGTTCCGGCTTTGTCGGTGCGTTCTGGTTCTCTAAGACCGATCCTTAGGGTTCTAGCTCTCTAAGACCAGAAATGCCACTCATACAAGAGAGGCAACTGTGGTTTTGCTGGGTCAGTGTAACCTGCAAATTTTGAGCTGTTTGATTGAGTCATCGTCTCATAAGCACATTCTTTTAGTAGAAAACACAAGATCTGGATAGTGGCTCACCCATGAAGAAAGTAAATGGACTCCAAACCCATTCAAAAACCCCAGGAACGTTATGTTGTCTCAACCAATTGATGATTTGTTATTTAGCTTAGTTCTTTTCCTTAGATTTTTTATTACAGATTTATAGTTTGCTGTTATTTGTGGTTTTTTTTTTTTTGCAGATTATTTCTTCTTTGGCAGACAACTCAAACACAGAGGACAACGTTATGTTTGGATGTGTTTGGATTGGATATGTTTGGATGTGGTTGAACATATAAATTTAAATTTTGGACTTTGTTGAACTTATGAATTTTATATTTTTTGATGTTTTTGGATATGTTTGGCTGCTGTTGAACTTATGGTGGAACCTATGGTGCATTTTGGAAGTTGGATTTTATGTTATTGATGTATTAATTTTATAGATTTGACCAGATTTTTTTTTTTTTAAATTTTACACGAGTTCGGGTTCGGGTCTCGCGGGTACCCGAACTCGTGTCTCGGGTACCCGAATCTCGGGTACCCGGGCTTCGCGAGATAGAGATCGAGACATTTTAATCAAAAACCCGACGAGACCGAGATCGAGATAAGGGTACCCTAAAAAGTCCGGGTACCCGCCCGTGCCCACCCCTACTTTTAACGAGTGAGAAAGTATATGGCTTTTAAAAAAAATTTAAACAGATTTGCTAAATCTTAAACGTAATTTTAAAATAATAAATTAAAGGTATCGTTCTAAAATTTACAGGTATTTTTTAAATCCAACTTATATTTTTAAAATAATTTTTGTAATCTCATCCACGTATAAAGAATTCATATACTAGAAAAAAAAAATCCTGAATATATTATTTGATTCTTCTTTTTCATTACTATTTTTAGACTTTCTTGTAGAGTTTGGAAAGGCAAAAACATTTTTTTTATTCTTTTGATAATATAATTTTCTGTTTTGAGGAAGGAAAGTTAATAAAGGATCCAAAACAGCTAATGCATGGGAGCAAAGTTATAAGACATCTACTATGGAAAGTACAATGCAGAATCCGGGGCGAATTAATATTCCATTCTAATAAATCATAAAATATACTTATATACATTTATCTTGGACAACGACCTTTGCATAAATGAAAAGATTTGCATAAGATCTTACATTTTCTACTTATAGATGGTATAATATAATGTTACATGCTTATATAAATTGTTTTCTTATGTATCTAATTGGAGGGTACATTTATATAGCTACTTATATATCTAGGGTTTTCTCGTGAGATGGGTCGTGTGATGACTAGTTTTCATGAGTTAGATCAAGTTTTTTTTTTCTCGCTAAAAAAAACGGGCTCATAAATGTGGTTTTATATATATTTTTTTACATAAATTCAAATTTAAGACGAATTTGGTTTTACAAGGACATAAAATTGCAAGTATAATTTTATATCGTACTATTTATATTTAAATTGACGGACTGAAATTATATACATATTTTTATTTGATTTTCTTTTGTTTTATGTTTTTGTGATTTATATTATGTGTAGTCAAATTTAAACATATTTAAATCTGATATATATATATATTCTAGTTTCTGTCCAAGGACTGTTTCAAGGGATGCCTTGGAATAGTTGTTTTTTATTTTCATATTTGATTAAAGTTAAACTGTCTCATATTTTATTATATGACGAAAATATATCATTCGTTGTACATTTTTTTCAATCATATCTTTCAATGCGTTGTAACATCTTGAAAATTATTGGCGTACGATTTTTTTTTATTGGATAATTTGTGATTTCGTATAGAAAAAGAAAATAGATGGATTCTCATGACAACTTTTTTTAGATGAAAGCTGTTGAGATTGAGGCCACGTCTAGATTTGAAAAAATGATCAAATCCGTAGGGGTTGCATTTAACGGAGTCAAATAATATAAAAACTTTACAGATTGTGAAAAATAAAAAAATATATATATTTATTTTTCGGGGGAATATATACTATTTATAAGTAACAGTTTTTAGTGGAATATTCCACTTAAAACGAAAATTAGATAAGATTGGATTTCACGAAATATATTATCTGGCTCCGGTTCGAGATCGTAATCTTATTGATATTAACTAACTTTAACAGATAATTGTTCTTTCAAACCCAAGCGTGTGGAGGGACATTCACATGGGCCAATGTCCGGTAAACTTACGAATTATAAAAAAAAAAAAAAACTTTAACAGATAATTCACAGATTTTTTAAAATCATAAAATAAATATCATTAGATTATTGGATATTTAAGAGGCAGCGGGACTGATGTCGGGTAGGGATGTCAAACGAGCCGGCTCGGACCAGCTCGGACCAGCTCGTTTCGAGCCAGCTCATTTTCAGCCCAGCTCGTTAAGCCTATTTTTATTTGGGCCAGAAAATTTCTGGCTCAGCCCAAGTCGCTTAGCTCGCGAGCCGGCTCCCGAGCCGGCTCATATTTTTCTAAATACCTAAAAAACATCATATCAAATTATATAAAATCATATCCAAATGATATATCAACATAAAAAGAACATACCAATACATCCAAATCATACTTATATTCACAATCACAATCCATATACAAAAAATCATTTTCAAATAGATAAAATCATAATCCATCCATGTACAAAAAACCATTTTCAGATCTTAATCCATCCATATACATTAGATCTTAATCCATGTACAAAAAACCATCTTCAGATCCGAATCTATACATAAAAAATTATCTCCAAATCAAAATATCATACCAACAATATCAACACTTTCAAGTTTCAACGTAATTTTTTTTTTACTCCAGCTCCCGAGCCAGCTTCCACCCCCGGACCCAGCCCGCGAGCCAGCCGAGCTAGCTCGTTTGGGCTCGGCTCGTGGCGAGCTGGCTCACTCAGCCCATTTTTATTTGGGTTCAGATATTCTTGGCTCGGCTCGGTAAAAAAGGAGCCACCCTCGAGCCGGCTCGCGAGCTCGGCTCGTTTTGACATCCCTAATGTCGGGTTCCACAAGACGAGAAACTCGGATTACGGGTTTGGGATTTTAGTTTATATTATTTTTTAACGATCATCTCGCTTCGAATATTTACAAAATGACTAAAACACATATCGTGTTATATATGTATGTACAAAAAATACATTGACCTATTTTTATATAAAATCACCTGTATACATTTAAATTCAACATAAATCAACAGAATTTCGTAAATTGTTACAAGTTCGGTATCTCCGGATTTCGATCTCGATCTCGGCCTCATATATATATATATATATATGCGTTTAAATTCAACATAAAGACACAAGACCCTTTTGTTTCATATATTCATTGTACAAGCTTATGATATCATAATCGCGCCATATTGTTCAAATTATAATTTTATTCAATAACTACTATTAATAATATGCAGTATTGTTCTATACTATATGTTTTAGGATCACGTACAATGCGTCTAATTCGTCCGTCCACAAACTATAATTCAACTCAATTTTGTATTTGTATCTATATTTTTTTTTGCTTTAATTACAATGAGAGATTTTGACCCGAGGCCATCAATATAAAAGTGGTAAAAAACTTGTCAAAAACTATGTTATACAAATGAAGTACAGAACCTATGGAAAGCAATGTATTGACAGGGCAATCCATATACACTCGAATATAAATAAAAATAATAAGACTTGGCTATTTGTCCAACAATATATGATTTTCTTAACCAAACATATATATATATATATATATATATATATAATTTTCTCAATTTCTTCAAATTTATAAGAAGGAAAAAGGGAAATTGACTTGCTCACACTTCACACCAACGTACTATTAGTGGAATAATTACACAAATTTGGCCACAACGGTTAACATCACAAATGTTCAACCAAAATTAAAAAAAACAATTATAAATTGCAATAACCAAAGTCAAATAATATTTTTAAGAGGTGACCGAAAACTCAAAGTCAAAATGCAGCAATAATATAATATTACGACCTATAATTTTATATTTGAGATTAAAGTGAAACAAGCATATGAAACCACTTGTTTGCAGGTTTCGGACCAATCAATTTTATTTATATGAGTTGTATTTAGTATAGTGATATTATTGATGGATTTAAACAATAATATATGCAAATTAAATTCTGGATGTTATGCCTAAATTAATAGAATAGTCTGTAAAGTAAATAAAAGGAATGCAAAGTAGAGGTTTGCTAAATTAAAGTAGTTTTCTGAATCAATAAAATATTTTAATTTATAGAGAATGAAAAACTTACAGAAATTTTATGTCGACAGATCGCTTCCTTATTTATGGAATATTAATTTTATATTACTTTAAAAATCTCTGTAAAAAATTTATAAAAAAACTATTTATGACATAAAAAAAAAATGTATGCAAAATTATTTGTGATATCTATATAATTACTCTTAGTTTTTTAAATGGTAATTAGACCCTAAACTTATATATTAGATCACAATTGTTCAATCATTGAAATTAGCATTTATAAATACATTATTTTATAAAATTAAATATTGATCCATATTAGCATTGAATACTTATAAATATTCTAACAAGTATCGTATAACATGCTAAATCTAATTTCTTTAAAACAAAATTGGGTTTTTCTATCACATAATAATTATTCACTCTTGTTTTGGTTGTAAATAAAAAAATATAAGAAGTTATTTTTATCATATAAAAAAGAAAATCCCAGAATATTCTACGTAATAACCAATCATGTGATTGCGTTGAACGCTTCCTTCACTAAATTCAACAATTGTACACAATATATTAATAATGTCTAATAAATATGTTGTTTTCTACTCCCACCACTGTCACGATCTTTATATGCTTTGCGATTAACAATATACATATTGTAAATGATATTTCAATTATGAATCTTTTAGGCTTTTCTCATATGAATATATGGATAAATTACAACAACAACAACAACAAACCCGATAGTTGGTGGCTCAATGGTTGAGAGGTAACAAAATCATCCTCAAAGTCCTGGATACGATTTTATTGGTGGGAAGGAATGTAATTTCTAGACCAAAATGTTTCATATACAAAGACTGGTCCGTGGTTAGAGTGGTTATAGTCGGGTCGAAGATTTGGAGAACCATCTTAATTATAAAAAAAAATCAATAATAATAATAATACTTATTATTATTATTATTCTAAGGATGGAACAAAGTGATTAGAAAATTAAATTGGGTGCAAAGGAGGCGTTTTGTAAATTATGGCGGTTTCAAGTGATTAGAAAATTGATTGGTTAAATAACAATCTCTATACAATCGCAAACAAACAAATAAAAAAGTCTAATTGCAAATTTTCTACTGTGTTTTTATAGCAATTCATCGTGTTTTATTGAAAAGATCAAAATACCCTCAATTAAAAAAAATAAAACGCCGGAAAAAATTAGAACCCTAATTATTTTAAAGTTTGGTAAATAAATTTGTTT